TCAGTCCTAGAAACCCATATTGCATCATGGATCTTTGAATAACTATTTACACATAATTCTTTGGTTTTCTAGGTCCTTGTTTCAAAGGGTGGTAGGTTTAGCACCACCATTGCTGTCACCTAGGGCTGTTGAGAAATGCAGAGGTCCCAGGTCCCACCCAGACCAACAGAGATAGGATCTGAATTTTGACTTGGTCCCTGGGGAATTTATATTTGAAAAGCCCCTTCCAAGTTTGAGAAGCCATGAAGTGCAGGATTTACACCTGGGTATAAATACTTACTTTTCTATAATTATTTCCTCTGTTTTCCAGACATGAATGGGATAATAATCAGTCTTTATGTTCTTCTTGCCCTCTTAATAGAAGCTGATATTTCCATAATATACTAATTAAGACACTTTTTTTTTTGAAAAATCACAAACATTGATCACCTACAAAAGATATGCTTTTGAAAACCTCAATAAAATAAAATTAAGTGATATTCTTTCATAGATGTAATTTCAGGGCTGTTTTATTTGCATTACCGTTAAGTTGATTCATGTGGGAGGAGCCTGTGCTAGCTGGCTCTGATCTGTGTAGTAGTTAATTATGAACAGTGCTTCCTGGAGTGAATCCTTTTATAGCAGGTGCTGTGTCCCAGACTTCATTGAACTGGCAGCATGGTCCCACCAGCTTTCCCTAATGAGGATCACTGTCAACTTGCCTCCTAATGAAGTCCGTCTGCCCCCCTACCCCAAAATGCTATTCCACATCTGAACTGTTTTGCTTCATACTGTTGGCTGGCCATTCATTGTCTGCCCTCCCCCTGACTCTGTGAAATTATTTCAGTCCACCACCTTGCAGAGTGGACACACTTTTAAGAGACACTAGCATTTTGGAATATCGTCGATGCATGTCCCAGACCTCCTTTGCTTGGTATCCCAGGTTTCTGTCTAGGTGTGAACTTGGGCAACCCTGGGGATTTCCTTTGCTCCTGGAGTCTGGCCTCCTTTCAAGTACTGCCTGGTTTTTAAAATTCCAGACACCACACCCTGTCCTTCAAGGCCTCCAGAAATCTTGCAACACAAGATTAAAATATATAACAATTGTTCTTTGTTTTTAAAGTTTAAAATGTAAGGGTAAGCTGCAGGCATACCATCCACTCATGCATCTCACATGAGTGTGCGTGTGTGTGTATAGATAGATACATCAAGATACATGTGCAGTTTTCCCATGAGGAGGTGTCTGCCCAAGAATCTTGATTTTTACCAGTTAGGTCAGCTGATACTCAGGAGGCAGAAATCACGAAAGGTGAACCCACTTACAGAAACTGTTCTTCGAAACCTCTCCTGTTTCATATCTTAGGGCCTTGAGGCTATTTTGGGAAGAGGCCTTAGTTAGGAATCTTGGGGTATTGTGAAAGGGTAATACACCCTAAGAGGTTGTTGGGTATTGTATTAAGTTCTCCAGAGAAACAGAGTCATTAAGAGAAATAGATAGGTAGATGTCTCTGTGTCTGTCTCTCCATGTCAATGTCTATGTGCCATTATCTATAATAAATTTCTCTGTGTGTGTGTGTGTGTGTGTGTGTGTGTGTATACATATACACATAAACATATGTGTGTGTGTATATATATATATAGAGAGAGAGAGAGGGAGAGAGAGACATACAGATATTTATATATATGGAGATCTATATGTCTAGAGAGAGATTTGTTATAGAAATTGGCTCATGTGATTTGGAAGGTGAGAAGTCTCATGATCTGCCATCTGCAAGCTGGAGATCCCAGAAAGCTAGTGGTGTAATTCAGTCTGAGACTGAAAGCCTGAGATCCAGAGGAACCAATGATGTAATCTCAGTCTGAGGGCAGAAGACGATGAGATAAGATATCCTAGCTCAGTCAGTGAGGCTGAAAAAAAGGGGGTGAATGTCTCCTTTCTCCATCTTTGGGTCTATTCAGGTCCCCAGTGGATTGGATGATACATACCCATGTTGGGGAGGACCATCTACTATACTGATTCCACTGATTCAAATGCTAATCTCATCTGGGAACACCCACACAGACATACCCAGGAACAGTGTTTAATGAAGGGGAGGAGAGGTGGTGGGGAATGGAATCATGGTGAACAGTTTCAGGGGGCAGTGAAGCTGGGCAGAGAGCAGGGAGACCAGCCATGACATGGCCATGGAACCTTGGCCATGTCACTCCTCTCAAAGCCCAGGCTTGTTCCCTATCTGGAAATGGACATTGTTGACCCTTGAGGTCTCAGAGACTCTCCTGTCCCCACTCTGTGGCTGCCTTTTATGGGAAAGGGCAAGGACATAGCATTTGTGTGGAGTGACGGGGCAGCAGCTGCACCCTCTTGTGACAGCATCCGCACCCTCTTGTGACAGCATCCAGCCACAGTGCCCACCTGTGCACACACAGTATGCCACGTCTCAGGCAAACCAAAACCTGACGGGTTTTTCTTCTGTCACTGTTCCCATTTTACAACTAAAAATGCGGCATCCAGGACACAGGGAAGTGAAATCTGCTTCTCAGATGAGATGCAATGCAGTAAGTGCTGGCCTCAGGTTTTCAGCTTAAGCCTGCTCTCATCTGCCTCATTATACTGCAGGAGAGGTGCAGCTTTAGAACAGAGAAAGACAGACTTGGGCAGGGAACATTTAAATTAGACATGGAGATAGACTTTCCTGCATTATTAAGACAATTATGTGTCCTGGGGCACCTGGGTGGCTCAGTTGGTTAAGCGTCCAACTCTTCATTTCAGTTCAGGTCATGATCTCGCAGTCATGAGATCAAGCCCCATGTGGGGCTCCGAGCTGACAGTCCAGAGCCTGCTTGGGATTCTTTCTCTCTCCCTCTCTCTCTGCCCCTCTCCCACTTATGCTTTCTCTCTCTCTTAAAATAAATAAACATTCAAAAAAAAAAAAAGACAATTATGTGTCCTAACCTCATGTGGGAGGGGGCAGGGAGACAGAATTCCCTGCAACAGGGGCCTCAGCTTGGGGAAGAAGTTCCTGGCTTTGCTGCATTGTCGTCAGCAAGCAGCTGTGCAGTGAGGGATGTGCTTATTAGCAGAAGGAGGGGCTGGGATGATATTTAACACAAAGGGCCCTGGTGGCCTAGAGGGTTTATGCTTCAGTTTGGGTGCCTCCTTAGGCTGGACTCTCCACAAGTGATTCATCCCACAGGACCACCGTCATCCCTATTTTACATGTGGGAATCAGAATTTCAGCAAGATGCAGCAATTTGCTGGCAGGCACAGGGAGACCTCAATTTTCTGTTTGGCATTGTCTGACTCTGCCCATACCTTTTGTCTTCCCAGTGAGGTTACCAGTTCCAAGACTCATTCATACACCCTAATTGGTAACCAGTGCCCAAGCACACATATCTTCCCTGCAATGTATGCTTTTTTACTTCCTTGTAAATTAAGGTCTGTGCATTAGATTAAACCATTACTGGTTTTGTGGGTCAAATTACTACTAAACTAATAGTTTAGGTATCTTGTAAAATATTTGATAGAAAAGAAACATTACAAGATGAGATTTAAAATGGGTATCAATATTGAAGTTGAAACTCATTACTTAAAAGTTTTTCTCACAAGAATGGGATGTGATTTTGTTGAATTTCAAAGCAGAGAGAACGTGAACTTTTAATGGAACTTTTATAACTTGCTTGCATATATTGTGTTTATCTGTATTTTGTGTGAAAATTTAATCAGAGATGTCTGAATAAAAGAACAGATGGAAGCTTTATTTAAATTCCCGAGAATGAATACCACATGCTGAGCTCAATAAAGCAATTTAAATAAGAAAAAAAAAAAATAAAATAAAAAATAAAAAAAATAAAATGGGTATCAATAGAAGTTCTGTTTTAACTTGTTTCTGCATGGTGGATCTTGTCGGAGGCCATCATGGGTAGAGTGCTTGTGTATGCATTGGTGTCCACTTGTCACAGGTGGATTATACATGTATATAACAAGGGGAGTGATCAGAAGACTGCTTTTCCTCCCTGGAAAAGATGGATATTTGTCATAGTGCAGTGGGAGCCATAGAGAGACAAAGAGCCAGGGCACCCCTTTCTGTCTTCCTTTTATTCCTTTCTTTTCTTCTGCTTTGATCTGGATGAACCAGGACAGTTGCCAAACAGCATGTAAGAGTGAACCTGACAGGGATTAGGTAAACCATACCACCATTGACTTTAAGTCCAGGAGACACGGTGGTGACAGGATCCCCACTCCCAAAGCGCCACCTGCAGTGGGGAGGGATATTACTGAAGAGGCTGGCCTGCAAACTTGAATGCCATGGGGCACAGTGAAAAAAACTGTGGTTTAAAGGACAACTCGACTGTCAGTAAAGGAAATCTATTTACTAACCCTAGAGCCTCTGCCAAATGGGCAGGAAACTACTAGAACTCTCTGGGTTGAAGGTGCCAGCGAGAGCCACTTTTTATATTGACTCTCCACCTTGATGAACCCAACAGGAGCAGATTCCAGGGACTCTCACTTGCTAGGGCCACCTCAGCATGCCCAGACCCCTAAGCTACATCAACTCCAGCTGTCTCCCTGAGGGGACCCCAGTACTACACAGCCTGGGCATCACTAGCCTGCACCCACTTCAGCTCCAGCCACTGAGTCAAGGGTGCCCTGATACAGTGAGCTCAGAGACCCCTTCTGGCAGGTGCCCAACCGAGCCATCCTGCTAAGATGCAGTCCCAGTATGTTGTGCTCCAGCACCCCCCCACCCCCCACAGCTGCTCCAGTTCCAGCCAGCCTGCCATAACAGCCCAGTTTGGCATGCCGCGGGACACCCCTGGCATGTGCTCACTCTAGCCCCAGCTGTCTTGCCACACTGGCTTCTATGTAACATGCACTGAGACTGCTCTTGGCCTGCATCTGATACAGCTCCTTGGCCTGCATCTGATACAGCCATCCCATAAGGGAAACCTTGGTGTGGCCTGGGACCATCTTGTCCTGCACCTGCTCCAGCTCCATCTGGCCTGCAGAAGCTGCCATAGACAATAATATTGTAATAACTTTTTGTGGTAACAGATGTAGACTTAAAGTGCGGGTCATTTTATAATGTACAAAAATAATCATATCACTATGATGTACATCTGAAACTAATAAGATATTGTTTGTTGACTATACTTCAATAAAAAAAAAAACATACAGGAGCAGGGATGGTCTTATGCCATCACCAAAGTGTTAACATTCAGCATATAAAAGAATAATGAGTGTAGAGTATTAAAAATAAACAACTTACAAAAGAAAATACATGGGATTTTGGGTGGCTTCATTGAGACGAAGAAATGAAATTTCTTATCGCTTTGCTTTAACAAAGCAGTTAATTTTATTATTCTAAGTTAGAGACTCCATCAATCCAAATGCAAATCAAAGGAAAAGATGGGCTTTCCAGGCCCCAAATTATTGTTGCCATCTACAATTATAGTTCACTTTGCTTCAACAGATGATCATTCTTTGCCTTTCTTCTTCCCAGTATTGACAAACAGTATTTAAAAAGACTAACATCATATTCTAGATGCCACCTTGGTTAACCTGCGTGGCAAACAGAACTTGTAATTTTTTTTTCTTTTTAATATAATTTATTGTCAAATTGGTTTCCATACAACACCCAGTTCTCATCCCAACAAGTGCCCTCCTCAGTGGCCATCACCCACTTTCCCCTCTCCCCCACCCCCCATCAACCTTCAGTTTGTTCTTAATATTTAAGAAGAAGTTGTATTTTTTATTAATGAATTTTAAAGACTTTAAATCTCATTTTTTACACAAATTGGAATCTTCTTGTTAATAGCTTCTGACATCTCCGAGCTTAAAAGTGGAGCAAGTAATCTGGCAAGAATTTGATCAACTGTAAATCACTCATTGATTGTTTGTTGCCTCTTTTCTTGTTCTTTCTAGAGGAACAAAACTGATACTCTGTTTTAAATTGTAAAAGAAAAATCGTGATAAAGCTTAGTAAACAGAAAGAAAAAAATAAAAGAAAAAAATTAAAAAAATAAAAGAAAGTTACCAGAAATTCCACCATCCAGAGATAACTACTCTAAATGTTTGGCAGTATCTCCTTTCTGGTATTTCTCATGCCCTAATATATGCTGCCCTATTTTTAGGCATTCGAGCATTACACGTCACTTAAAATACTGTACCATGTCTATGTACATAAATAAATGTATACATGCTGCCCTATTTTTAGGCATTCAAGCCTTACATGTCACTTAAAATACTGCACCATGTCTATGTACATAAATAAATGTATACATGCTGCCCTATTTTTAGGCATTCGAGCCTTACGTGTCACTTAAAATACTGCACCATGTCTCTGGATTTAAAAGAAGCATTCATTAGAATTATAAAGAGTTTATTTTATTTTATTTTATTTTATTTTATTTTATTTTATTTTATTT